GACATATCTTTATTTATATATATATATATATATATATATATATAGATATATATAATCTACAATCTTAATATATTGTCATTTGGTATAAATTACATTTACTACATGAATCATAATATATTTTTTATTTCCCGGGTGATTGATTTATGGGTTAATGACAATATTGAGTTGAGTGACCAAATGAGCCAGTTTGACCATACCAAATTGATTATTAAACTAAATTTTAATATTAAAAATACTTTAGTACAATAAATGTAATGCAGTTCATACTGCAAATAATCATATTAAGAATGCCTTTATGTAAACATGTTCAAGGATTTATGAACACTTATATGTTATTTTATTAATATTTATGTGAACAAAATGTTATTGCATCAACTTTTTAATGTACTTTAAATCCAAAGTTCTCAGGAGATGACCGTTTTAAACCGATCAAGTTATCTCTTCAATGATTTATCGGTTGCATCAAAATTTTAATATATATATAGCAATTTTAATAAAAAATTTATTAAAAATATTAATTAAACATATGAACAATTTAAAATTATTCAATCTTTAAACTAAATGATAAATAATCTATAGATATACATTTTTATTAAACATGTACTTTTATTTATATTAAAAGTAGTTTTAAATGCAACAAAAGTTATGTAAAAATCGTTCTGATACTAACAATCTGACCAATTGGTGTTGACCCGTTCCCTAGCAAACATTTTATTCAAACGAACCGAACTTGTCGATAAATTGGTCCTCGGTCCATAATGTGAGACTATTCGGTCCGGTCCCGTTTTGAGAACAATAAGTAAATCATGATTAATGTTATTTATAAATTTAAGTTATAATATAATCATAATATTGTTTCCCGTGCATCGCACGAGCCACATACTAATAAAACTAAATGGCAAAATCAATTCGCATATGTTTTAATCATCTTACTTTAATTAGCAAGTCAACATTTTATTTTTTCAGTCAAACTTACTATTTCAATATTTTTCCAACAACCTCTTTATCTCTCCTGTATGTATAAGAACACATTAGGGGTCTTCCACAAGCAGACACGTTGGACTAAGTTGACCTTCCTTTTTGTCACTTATTTACAAGTCTGCCATTGAGGTAATTAATTGTTAATTAAATCGGTCAGGTCGTCACTTCCCTTATTTCCTGCGTTTTGACTGCTTTCCTCTTTTTCGCATAAATCTTGCGCACGTAAAGACTGATGCCCGCAAAGACTGATAAACAACTCCTCCTTCTTACAAACCCTAATAATTAATTACTCTCATTTTTATTGTCGTTTCTTGAGCAGCGGAAAAATGAAGAAGAAGCGGCGGTGTACTCCGCAGATTCGGCAGTACGGACACCTTCAACGGCTGTTGCAGCGTCTTCCACGTGGACACGATGCTGGACTTTGAGGAGAGAGAGAGAGAGCGAGGAGGTGAAGGTCCGACGGGTCACCAACGGCACCCGGGCCATCCTGCAGGTGTGCGCCGACTCTAGAATCGTGCGTCACCTTCTCTACACCGCCACCCTTGGGACGACAACTTAAGACTCCTCCGGTGCTGCCGTCATGGGTGTTGGGTCCTTCATCAGTCCACACTGGCCCGATTCGATTTGAGTACTCTCCTCCTATATCTTTATTTACCATATTTGTTTCATTGTGGTGTACATGATGACTAAAATAGGTAGCTATCAAATTAATTTTTTTTTTTTTGCTTTCTCAATATACTTATCTATCAAATCAGTACTTATCTTAGTTTTGGGTGATTGATGAACTTATGGAGATTTTATCAGCTTGTAAAAAGGCGATGTGTTGTCTGGAACATATGATGTGTTCAGTTGAATTACAGAATATCTTATTAGAGAATTGTTTTGGATCTTGTTTTAATTGAGAAGCTTTCTTGCACTATTCTGTAAATGTATTGGCATATATGACACCTTATTATGGATTGATTTATGAAGATTTATTGGTGCATGAGAGATTCATGAGCTTGCAATGCACTTCAGAATCGTAGGAACGGAAAAAATAAAAAGGAAACTCACTTTGTATTGTTGGGATAAAATTGTTGAAATCATAGTATACTTAATTATTGGTCCTTTTTATCAAAAGACTTTTGAGAGTCGTGTCTCTTCTCTCCATTCAGCTAATTCTTCCTTAAAATTTTGCCTTTGCAGATTCATTAAGATACACGTCTACTTTATCAGTGACACTTGTTGTAGTGTTCCTTGTTATAACTGTGGGCATCACAGTCTTCAAGTTGATAAACGGAACTACTCTGATGCCTCGGTTATTTCCAGATGTCAACAATCTAACCTCATTCCTCAACCTCTTCACCATCATTCATGTTCTTATCACTGCTTATATCTACCACTACAATGGTATGCATTAATTGTTTTGTTGAATTTGAAAACTTCTGCTTTCACATATTGCACTTATCGAGGGTCTCTTTGAAGTAAAAAAAACTCTCCACCCAAAGTTTTTACTGGTGACTGTAAGGAAATATTTCTTTGAAGGACCCGATTTTCATTTGTTAGTTTTATCTCAGCTTGGACTCATTTTTTCAGCTTTCTCAATCAGCTTGGGCTCATTTGTTAGTCTTATGTCACACATCTATTGTTCTAGGTAGTTTCTCGAGTTCATTCTTGGCAATTAAAAACCCACTAAAGGAGGTGAATTCGATTGGATGGATGCTATAAATCCACGAGGCCGTTAACATATTGGCCTATTTAGTATAATGACGAACGAGGGTTTCAACAGTGTAGTGACCATCAGGGCGAAGAAGTTCAAATACACCTCTGTACATTTCATGCCGTAGGCTATAGTTTTTATTGTTTTTCTGCATTATTTTTTATTGTTTATTTTTTTTTGGGTATGTTGGCGAGACAAACTTCCTTCCGTACAGGATAAAACACAATAAGATGAACTGGTTGTCGTCGCATTTCTCAGACTGAACAAGTTCCAAATCAAGAAGCTATGGGGCAATGCAATATTCAAATTTTGTGAGTCACTTTTTTTTTTTTTTTTTTTTTT